GCCTCATCAATAATACTACCATAAAAATATGAAATTGGTGAGGCATATGTTGCGTTGAAATTCACTTCTGTCCTGTGACCGACTGGCCCTCTTTGGAGGATGGCGTGGTATTCGCATGTCAAGATCATGTGCTGCCCTACCCAGAGTTAATTTAGATTGGGGATGCTAAGGCCAAAATTGCAGCCCAACCTGAATGAGAAAGTCTTTTGGTAGGAAAGACAAGAGGGAATTCAATTGCATCATAAGACTAACTTATATCATAATTTCAAATGTAAGACCTTTATAACATTATAGTACTTATGGTGAATGGAATTCTTATAAAAGTGTTTGTAGTTCGAAATCCAGATGAAGAATGCATTTAAGCTTATCAGGATTTTATTTCTCTTAGGCTGCTCAATGAGACCACATAGCCCACATCCTCGACTATATTCTAAATTAACTGCCTATTGCCACTAAGGGGTACAGCCACGGATGGCAGTTAATCATAGGTAAGAGGTGACCTTTCGGACAAAGTATGCCGATTTCAGGCCTCACATCTCCAAGAGACAATTTTTTGTCTATTAAATCTAAGTCATTAATTAGTTTCGATGTAAGCACACTGCATAGGACAGCGACAAACCGACATTTAGTCATGAAGCCTCTGACCATTTACTCTTTTCTAAAAGAACTAGTTTCCCAAACAGAAGCACAAGCTGTCCTAGAGGTTTTCGTTTCTACGTCGTAGACAGAATTGACTAGCAAATGTATGAGAGTTTTAGACAACTACTAATAAATTAATGAGAATATATACATTTGTCCAGAGTTTTGATGAAACGACGGTGACATTGCAACTTCAATTTAATTTAATATCTGGTTGCATTTTTCGCATTCATATAGGATTCCAGTGTCTGCATTCTAGAAAATATGTGACGGCTGATTTAAAAAATAATGGTTGTCGCATTAATGAGTGTGGAATAGCTATACATTAGGATTGACTTTGGATACACAACTCAGTATTGAAAGAGAAAAGTCTGAGTTATGCTCATAGTATTAGATAGAAGGATAAAAGTGTTTGTTTAGGCTTTCTGGCTTGTAACGAGTCCATTTTGTGCTTAACAATAGTGACAGGTTTTGCAACCATGTCGGTTATATAATGAATGCTTTTCAGCTTATCATTCCTCAGTTTTAGTTAGGAGTAGCTTTTAGTTACCTAGTTTGCATGTAATAATATTAATCAGGACGGTATTTAATATCAAAAATCACAATTTGTATAAATATGACCAAAGTTAATCCCCAAGAGCTTCCTTCACCAGATTCACAATTTGCGATGTATAATATTTGACTTCAGAGCAGTAACTCGGCAAAATTAAATAACTAGTTTTGTTAGATCGTAGATATAAAATTTCTTTGCCACAGTTTGTAATTCAATTGCTTGTATATAATAGGAAGTGGAAAAATTGTCACAAAGTTAAGTGATCCTACTAAATGAAATTTTGCCTTAGAAGTCCGTGCATTTTCCTCAACTGCTATTTACAAAAAGAATCATAGAAACACACTTGATTCAAAAAAATAATTAGAACATACGCCCTCCTACTTAACCTACTAATCATGATTTAGACATTTAATTTCTCCCTGGGGCAATAAGGGTGATAGTTGCACCTCTTGAGAACACCTACAAAAGGGCTGGCTCGAAACCAAACAAATGGCATACCCTGCCAATATGCAAATTGCTTGAAGCATGGCAAATTTGTGTAAAGGAAATAAGAATATGATTAAAGCATCCAATTCAGCCTACATTTCTGGATAGTCAATCGCCAAGATCTCTTCATACTCTCCATCCTGTGCCAGTATTTCCTCACCAAGTACAGCCAATTGCTGTAAGAGAGCCGGCTGTTCTGCCATGTGAACTGGATCTCTTTTATCCGAATTATGCTGTCCTGATTTGTGGTCGCTGGTCTCGTTTATATTAATCACATTTGATGATAAAGAGCTCGGTGGCTGTGCCATCAACGACTCTGTTTTCCTATCTCGAGCATTTATGTATGGCCGTCGTGCTGGTTGGCCGATCGAAGGATGGAGTAGCTCTCCTTTTGATGCAATACATGGGGACCTCATTCTGGTGGCGCCTCTGAGTGATGATGCTTCTGCTTGAAAATGAGTAAAATTTTCTAGAAAACTTTTCGCGTACACTTTAAAGATAAATTTGAAACTAAGGTAGCTAATCGAGCTGAGTTCAACTTGAGTATGCATGACTTACAGCACTACTTGGTAGTCAAAATGTAAATATTTGCTAAATGGCTTTTATAGCAATGAAAAGTAGGCTTCCCAAATGCCGTTAAGCCATACGGAAGGTTGATTTCTCATCATTTTGGAAAAGTATGTAATATGAAAAGGAAAATGAAATAAAGAATTTTTAAGTCCTAGAACCAAGGAGATGTGAATTTACATTCAATAATTATCTAAATCGAAAAGTATTTTAGAGCCCTAAATGCTAAGCTAGCACTGTTCTCCTTCATAGAATGTCCTATAATTGGTAGCTAGGGCATCAAAAAAGTTGCTGCTTTTTTAGTCTAATCCTATTTCCCTTTAATGGCTTAGTTTGAGCTATTATCCACAAATTGCCCAGATTTAGGAGCATAAATTTAAGCTTAGACATTTTTTTCTGTCTGTATCATACGAATCAGTGGTTACATTCTTAAACACTCTGAAGCTATGAAGAAATTTATCGGCATATACATGACTAACTGTCTAAATCTGTATAAACATAAAACTATGACAACGAATGAAACATAACATACTTTCTCAGAGATGTCATCTTTCTATTAAGTTAAGAATGTGAGTGAGAATAACGG